ATATGAAACACTCATATCGTGATACAGTTTTCAGTCATATCGCCCAGCCCTAGTTCATAACAGTCTCCTAGAAACCGAACTGAAGACCCATAAAGCAAAGAAGAAGCTCTTCATTAATGAGAAGCAGGGAAGAGCCAGGCTGAAGTTTGCAAAAAAAAAAAAAAAAAAGTATATTTTACACTGGCACATACCCATAAACTGAGTGAAAATTTGGCTGTGATCTTTTAATTTTTTCCAGAGCTGTATTTACGATATCATCAAAATGCAGAAAGTGAGGGAACTTTTGATATTCTTATGGTCTTCTGGTGACTGAAATGATGCAATTTCCTATTGAACATGCCACTTGTGGAATGTGCCAAATTTTTTAGGGGCAGAAATATTACAATGACAGGATTGAGTGAAAACCTGGGGACACTATTAAAATGTATATTTTAACTAGTATTGATTTACTATAAGGAAAATGTATTTAAAGCATAAATTGGAAATACTGGGGCACAACAATACAAAGAAAACGTAAGATTTTTGAAGGTTTTTACTCATTTTACATGATGAAGTATAGCATTAGTGAGCAGGGACAGGTGACATTTTCACATTTTCAGTGTTCCATGTAGTTTGTATTTACATCATGGGTCTTAAATTTGCAATGAGGACACTTTGCTTGATAATAAGAGGCATTGTTAAAAAAAATTTCTTTCATATTTATATGTATGATGTCGTGGGGACATAAATGGCACCGATTCGGTGGAATGGCCCTTGTGAGTCCCAAAAAATGACGTCACTCTGTTTTTCAATCCATTTATGTCTGTCTCTCTCTGTAGCTCGATAGCACAGTGAACCTGGATGAGCGGCGACTCATTCACTCTGCGATCCGAGACCTGCGGCAGAGGGAGATTGAGGAGATGGAGGCAGCACTGGCCAGCAAGCGCTTCCGGCCAGCTCACCAGCACCTGCACGACGACAAAGAGAACCAGCACAGGTGAGGTGTTCCCCAACAGTGGCCCATGCCCACACAAAGCTCTTACACGCTCACAAGCAGAAACACATAATTGTGCATGCACACACAGACCCACTAACTGCATGACTCAGACTCCTGATTTTTATGAACTTCCTGTTTGTAGTTCAAATTTATTTTGTTTGCATATATTTAGTTCTGCTAACAACACACACATCGGTGTGGTTCTGCATCCACAACAGCTGGATATGTGTATATATTAAGACCATTTGTATACACATGATTTATTGCATGACTTACTTTGTATGTGTTCATACATTTAAAAGCAGGTTAAAAGCAAACGTCCTAACACACGCATTCAAACAGGTGATTTGCATACAACATCTGCACATTCACTGCCATGTAAAAATATAATGGCCAAGCATGCTTGTCTCCTCAGAACACGTGAATGGTAATAACATCATCAGAGTGCTGGACAGGGCTGGTGAAAACACACCCGCACACACACACACACATATGTTTGTGAGGACTCTTCATTCATTCTTACCCTAATCTCAACTATGACAACCGTAACCCGTACCCAGCCCTAGCCACAACCATAAGTAACCAAACAAAGTAGAAGACTTGGCATGGTTAGTTTTTTTGCATTCACAGACTTTTATGAAATTGAGTTTCCCCTTGTTATGGGAACATTTTTCAGTCCTCGCATCAAAATATCAGGTCTTTATTACATTTGGTCCCTGCAATGTAGTATATAAATATATCTCCACACACACACACACACACACCCCTAGTTCAGAGGGCAGTGTGCTGGGGCATTCCACTCCAGCATTTCAGTTCTCATAGGACAAAAGGCATTAAACAAAAGAAGAGCAGCATAATTCCATAAATAAATCAAGTAATGATGATAGAAGGGCTCTTTTTCAGAAAAAAAGCAGGACAACTGCTAACTACATTTTGCTAGGAACAATGCTAATGCTAGTTAATGAAAAGCAAAAGCAGTTATCGCAATAAGCAGAGTGACGCTTCAATTCTGAGCAGCTGTCAGCTTTTCCATCTGCCTGAGCCATGTGGATGAACCTCTGTCAGTGTAGATAAGATGCTGTGTGTCCTAAAGACTAAACATGCAGACACAAATTAGAAAATGCAAACAGTTAAATGACTCACTGCAGCTGTACCTCCATTGGACTCAATCAGCTGTGTGTGTGTTAGAGGTGGGAAACTTCTTTTAAAAAGACATCTATGATTGAATTTCTTCAAATGATAGTTCTTATATTAATTCTAGAATTATGCTATAAGTCTAGTCCATCATCACACAGTAGCCTAAGCTCATTGTGTGCGACTGACTGTGAAAGGTGAAACCCCATTAGCCTACTACTATCCTAAGTGAGGAAAATGACGAGAAGACCACAATATATTATATAATAACCCATTTTATTTATTTAGCTATCCACAGCACAGAAATGCCAGCAGCAGCCGTCCAGACATTATACCACGTATATGCTGTCTTGATGGTGTTTTCAAAAATAACGCTATTCTGGAATTTTGAAAGTGGGGGCGAAAAAAAAAATTGAAGGTGAGATCCAAACAGCTACTAGACTGCTCTTTTCAGGTTTTTGGGAATTACTATATCATTATATTCATGCTATTTCACAAGTGTTTTTACTGGCTAGTTTCAGCCATTCTGGCTAGCTAAATCAATTAATGGAAGACTGCCGCTAGTGGCATATCCCATATTCTACATTAAATGATAAGGGCCATTAGGCAAAACAAAAATGAGGAAACGTGTGTTAGTTGACTGATACTAACTTGCATAAATCTTCAAACATTTTAAGAATTTTTCCATCAATTTTATATAAATATTTTTAACATTTTTATTTGAATAATAATGTTGGACCTCCTAGGCCTAATGTGTGCGCTCCACCCACACCCCTTTATTATGTAAAGTTCTATGAGTATTATTGTGGTTTAGCAACCTTGCAAACACTTGCTTCTGATAGCAATCCAATGTGCTGCTGCTTGAGAATGTGAAAAATCTCTCCTCAGTGCTCCTCATGCCCAGAAGCCTTGGAAATGTGGTGGAAAATGAGAGACGAGAATGGCAGATTGAGGTTAAATAGCTTTTTGGTGGGAAACTGAGGGGAAAGTACGGTGGATAGCACTCCTCCTCAAGCACTTTACTGAAGCAGTCACATTTTCCATCTCACTTTATGAAATTCTTTTCTTGGGAGCTAGCTACTGTTCCTGCCTTAGCCAAGAGAACCCATTGGGTGGTCCCCCTTCCTGTCACGCTCAGAGGCAGGAGAGTCGCGTTTGAAAAGCCCTATATGTGTGTGAGGGGTGGCACCCTCGATACCCTGAAATGTTCCAGGTATTATGCTGCAAGCACTTACGTTGGAATATGTGTAATACTGACACAGAACTATGTGTGATCAGGGCCGACACTCTGGATTTGCTGTCTGGGAAGCTGCAGGCCATCCAGGACATTGAAGAGCTCACCAAACTGGTGAGTTCGCAATTGCGGGAGCACATTTACACAAACAAAATGCTCATATCCAAACATACACACAAACATACAGTCTATGGACTCTGCAGGTACATAGACTCCCTCTTATATGTAGAATAACAGGTTTATACTAAGCAGTTATTTCTGAGCTTGCCCCTTTTTCTATACCGTGGCGTGCCACGTAATAAACAAGCAACAATACATTCCTCCAGACTTGTGTCATTTTTGATTTTTATCTTAACTTAAAGGTGGTTTGTCTGTCTTATATTGTCAGTTCAGTTGATTTGAACATGCCTCTGACCCTGTTCATGTGGACTTTCTCTGTCTGTCTGAATCTTTCTGTGTCTTCTTTTCTTTCCATCTGTGTGTCTCCCTTCATCTGCTTCACTGTCTGCACATCTATAGCTGCGTGGTGCCAGTGAATACGAGGAGAGGAAGCTGATCCGAGCGGCAATCCGCCAGCTGAGGGACAAGGAACTGCAGAGTAAGTCTCGCCACATCCCTTAAATTCTTCTTCTTAGTTGGTTTACCTCACGTGGCTATTTTTTAATGGAGTTCAGGGGGTTTACAGATGCAAGAGGAGCAGATGACTGACTAAAGCAAGCGGAAAGCTTTTGTAGAGGAAATCATTTCAGTGCTTCCTTCAGCCATAAAGTTGGTTAGAGAATGGGCTGATTACCTGGGCCTCTGAGTCTGTGTCCCTCTCTGCTTCTCTGCTTCAAAGACTTTGTGTTACTTTGAACCCCCTTTTCAATAGCTGTCGTATGATCAGGACTAAACCTTTTAGAGCAGTTATCAGACAAAGAGCCTTGTACCTGTGATGATCAGAACAGATAGTAGATTCCAACCATTCTTCTACACGGTCTGCTTCTTCACTCTGCTGTTCCAGGCTGCACTACCCTACACACTGTGTTTACTGTTCAGAGATTTACCTTAACCAACAAAGGTTATCCTAGAGAAAAGAGCCTCAAAACTGACTCTAGAGCATCTACTTTATCCTCTTCTACATTTTTCCTGAATCAGACTATGTAGGGAGGTTTGACCCTTATCACCCAACCTCAACATAAATCAGCTGTCAGACACATTTCACACTAATTTCCTTTCTCTCAGTCTTGCTAATGCTGACTCATTTGCCAGCTACAGTACAATATTGCTTCACATTGGATGATAAATATTTGGCAGTTGCCGAAGGGGTAGGAAAGTTAGTCATACTCTATCCATGTTTGATATCTTTCTCACAGGATTTCCTCCTGCCCCTGTGTCTGTCTGGACACAAGAGCTCTGAGTCAACCAGTATGTCTCATTTCAGCTCAGGGGGTTAGCAGGAACTCCTTGATGCTCAAGCAGAGTTCGCAGAATTGATGCCAATGTGTGTTTTTCCCAGGTGCCATGGAAAGAGTCAAAGGAACCAATCAACAGGCTAAGGCTGAATCTGGAGAGATGCACAGCAGCCTGGCCAGAGTGGTGAGCATGCAAGCAGACCGTCCACCCTCAAGCACACATGCATCCAGCAGAAGGGTAGCAGAGGAACACTGGACTGACAAAGATCAGTCTGGTTCTCAGGGGTCTCTTTATTGTACCATTAAGAAAGTTAATGTAATTTCCATCCAGCTTCCATAACCACTTCTTCGGCGTAAGGTTGTGGTGAGCTCAGGGCATTTCCTGTAAGGCACAGGGCACGAGAGGGAACAACCAGGACAGGATGCCAGCCCATGGCACACACATTTACACATGCACGGGGCAGGACCCCTAGAGGTATGAGGCTACATTGCTACCCAAGGTGCTACTGTTCCACCCCTTCTGAATTTAAATGAATTGATTTAAATGGATATAATGATAAAATGGAAACTACAATGGATACATAACTGGATACATAGAGGCTTTGAATTACAGGTGTGTGTGTGTGTGTGTTTCCATTTTATGTGGGTTTTTCTTTTATAGTCCAAAGACATGCAGTTCTAACTGACATCCCTTAGTTGGTCATAGTGTTGTCTATGTTTGCTCATAAGTGCCTTGTCATGTATTGGCATCCTATCTTGGGTGTGCCCCAGCCTTATGCTCTGTGCTGCTTGGGATAGGCTACAGCACCCTCCCATTTACACAGGGTAAATAATTGGATGATGGATGGATATAAACTTGTGAGAACAGTTTTGTGATGGGGTAGGCTGGACCCCTGTCATTTCTCCCATTTCTATATTTCGAAGTTAATTGATAATAGTGATGCACAATTATATGTTTCCTTTTGTTAAATGTGAAACACACACAATGTTTTGGATGTTAAATGTACTTCTGTATGAGAGAAGATGGAACTGAGACTGTTTTACTGCCACGTGCAACAACAAAAATGGAGTGAACAGAAATACCCAGAAGGTCCGCCTCAGATGCGCATCGGTGCTGGCGGTCTTGGGCCGCTTTGTGTGGTGACTATTCTCCATACGTATTGAGAAGACATTATGGAAGAGGTTTATGGCTTCTGCAACGGTGCCAGCTGCCCACGTAAGCTTTGGAAACTGCCATAAGACTAAAGGGAAAAATGTTTACTCAGCCCTAAACCCTGGCTGGGTCAGCTCAGAAAAACACCATGCTGCTTTTCCAAGTTCATAAATTGAATACGACGCCCCACAGCAAGTCTGTCATTTCCAACATGGCTGTTTACACAGTCTGCTGTTTCATGAAATGTGAAATTAGAATGTTGGTTTAACCTTGGCATAAGAACTTTGGCATAAGAGCAAAGCTGCTCCATCAAGATAGGGCTTCCATTCTCCTCAATGCTTGGGGTAAATATTGCCCTCTTGAGTTTTAACGTAGAACAACACATTGCTGTTTGGGTCCTCAAGAGCTCAAGTTTTATATCAAATTTTACGTCACTATCTGTATACAGGCTGTAAAGAGATAAGTAGTGTCACATGTTTTTGTCTCTGTTACCTGTGAAGAGAGTGTTTCTTAATAATACAGGAATGTATTAATAATGTTCCCGGTTTTTTGGCAGTATGCTTGTCAAGACTCTCAAGGCTGATTCATATGAAAGCGGGTGTGCGTAGTGACAGACCATGCATGATACTGAATATTCACACTTCGCATAAAAGCGGGTGTGCGTAGTGACAGGCCATGCGTGATACTGAATATTCATCCTTCACATGAAAGCTGGTGTGCGTAGTGACAGGCCATGCGTGACACTGAATATTCATACTTCACATGAAAGCGGGTGTGCGTAGTGACAGGCCATGCGTGACACTGAATATTCATCCTTCACATGAAAGCGGGTGTGCGTAGTGACAGGCCATGCGTGACACTGAATAGTCATACTTCACATGAAAGAGGGTGTGCGTAGTGACAGGCCATGCGTGATACTGAATATTCATGCTTCACATGAAAGCGGGTGTGCGTAGTGACAGGCCATGCGTGATACTGAATATTCATGCTTCACATGAAAGCGGGTGTGCGTAGTGACAGGCCATGTGTGACACTGAATATTCAAACTTCACAT